CATCAAATGAAAACTCAAAAAAACAACAACAACAAAAAAAAACATAAAAAAAAACGGAACAAAAATGCTGAAAAAACCCTCAAAATATCACGGACAGGTTTATACACATTGCTAAGGTGGACTTCTTGGTGTATCGATCAGTGCAATGAATGAGTTAGCGAAAATGTGGTTAATATTTGAACCTCCTTTGGATGGGAATCTGGCTAATGTCTCCTGCTGACCTAATAATGTCTCCAGCTTACTCATTTTAAAGCTATTGTGAAAGAGCTCTTACTGTAAATATGTAGGCCTACTTGATGGCTATAAATGATGACGTGCTCATGATTGTGGCTAAAGGTGCACGTCCCGGGCAAAAGGTCAGTTTGTAATCTATGTGGGTGACATGAACATAAAAAAATAGCATTGTTCTGGTACTGCAGAGTAGAACCATCACTTTTGGCTAATTAGAATTAGTTTGGCCTTTTAGTTTAGTCAGAAAGAAGAGGAAAATTCTCCATATTCAAGAAGGTTATTAGGCATGATCTGAAGTATATACAAAATACAATACTTGATGGTAGGGCAGTATGGAGGGGTTACATCTTTTGACAGACTGCATGTCCAGCCTGGTACAATTGATTTGCATTATAAAAGCCCTTTATAAATTATTTAAAGAGGTTCAATTCCCGAATCATTTTGTACAATATTCAAAGGTAGGCTATGATTAGCATTGGAAACTTGGATTAGAGTGACACAATTTTGTTAACGATGCTGAACTCAGTTTAAGGCAAGCAATGTAATAACTAGTCTACAGTGATCCTGACGTTACAGTATTAACTGTGTATTTGAACAAACAAATTCCTTACAAAAGTTGGAATTACAGCGTGGCTGGTTCTAGCTTCCAAACAGTAACATAGGATGTCTAAGTAATCAACTCGATTGACTGTACTAAATTTAACATTGTCAAAATAGCATGAAAAAAAATGTTAGCTTTACGAGAGAAATTATGATTGGCTTGGTTTTTCAGTAGACATTTTCACTTCAGTGTAATGAATAATATGAGGTTCAATAACACATACAGAGGAATTAAAGGTCCAGTGTGTAGGATTTAGTGGCATCTAGTGGTGAGATTACAGAACTTAAACTTGCCAAGCGTGTAGGAGAACTATGGTGGCTGACGCAAAAACAGGAGCCAGTGTCTGGTTTGTCCATTCTGGGCTACAGTAAAAACAACACGACAGACTTTGTGGACAGGGACTCGCTCCATATGGATATAAGCGGTTCATTCTAAGGTAAGGAAAACACAATTCTTATTTTCACGTGATTCTAAAGTGATGTAAACGTAATTGAATATTACATTTCTGCTAATATATCTCCCTAAATCCTACAAACTGGACCTTCAAAGCATTTTGATAAATGAGTCATGTGTTAGGCTGCTTTGCAAAAAAATTTAGTTGACAAAACAACATTATGGCATTTTAAATTCAACAATCCACATGTTACTATTTTTCATTTACTTAGGTGAAATCAAAGTGTAGTAACGTGGGTCCACTTTCACTGAATTTACTCCTTCTGCCAGGGTCATGCTTCCTATCAGGGTAACTATCAGATGACATCGCTAGTACACAATGATGAAATACTGCACAGTGGATGTGCTAGTTGTGTAAAAAACAACAACAACAAAAAAAACATAACTTGTAACCCAGCAAACCAATGATGTTCTTTTGGCCTTGGAAGTAAGACTCAGTTGTTACTGTAGTTAGCCTGACATGCTAACGATTGCAGCTTACATCTGAACGTTAGCCTGACATGCTAACGATTGCAGCTTACATCTCAACACATAACCACACTGATTAATTTATTCCTCGCAGTTTTGCCCTTGTGCTTTTTGGTTTTTGGAAAGTCTACACTGGTAGAAAAGATTTCTGCAGACTTACATCTATGGAGTGTTATTTTTTCAAAATATACACCTCGTCTCAAACTCTTTATCCAAGCTTGACAGACTGGCCATAGTTACTTTTCACTGCTGAGTCACAGTTTGTGTAGGAAATAGGTTTATCGGTCAGTTATTAAGCTGTTAATGTATTTCCTAATTCGAGGAAGCTCCAGCTCTCATTGTGGAGAGGGTGCCATAGCATTGTTCCGACCTCTCATTGTTCCGACCTCTCATTAGTCCGACGACCTGTTGTTCCAATATGTGATTATACTAGGCTATACTGTATTTGTGTACCATAGAGGATCAGCAACGCAACAAAAGTAGGCTACTGGTCGAGATTTAAGTGTCATAGAGAGTAGAGATTGAAACACCATAACCTCCTGTTATTAACTCTGGGGTTGGGGTTGTGTGGGGAGCTCTCCATGGTGCTGAATGGCTCATGGCGGGCGTATTTCTGCCTTGATGGTGCACCGCGACCGGCTCTGGGTCAGCTGGGAAAGGCTTGAGGTGAAGCAGGCTCACGGCTTATGTGTTTGTCACTTTCTTTTTCATTTTAACCCACACCATGATCTTTTCCTAACCCTAACCAAGTGTTTTTTGTGCCCAAACCTAACCAGACTTTAACCACAGGGCATCATGATGATTTCGGAACAACGGGACTTCGGAACAATGAGTTTAATATGGTCGGATCAATGGGCTGTCGGACCAATGGGCAGACCCTGTGGAGGGTAAGTAGCTGTGTTCAAAACCGTCCACTCACTCACTCACTATTCCCTATTTCGTGTTTACTATATAGTGCACTACATGGGGAAAGACTGAACGAGATTTCGGACACTAACTGAAATTTTCTGAACGTCGTTGTGTCAGTAGCTGCGCCGCATACTCCTGTGACGCAAATGGACGCGCCGAGCATCATGTAAACAAACCGGGCGCTTTGAGGATGATCGAACTGTATGGTGGTTGTACTTTTTGTCAATAAATTGTTGAAATGTCAATGGCGTGGACGTTTGGTTTTGTCAGCTACGGTTGTGTGGCTGCATTGCGAGCTGTAATAGCCCACGATAGTGCACGAGCTACAAGCTACCTGGCTCGTGCGAGCTAAGTGGCTATTGTTAGCTCGTGAGCTAACAATAGCCCACATTGCATTGTGGTATACGGGAGTAAAATATAGGGTACATCGTTTGTTCACTTACATTTGCTGTGCATTGTGGGTATTTTATAGTCCACTATATCCACCTTATTTTCGAACACGGAAGTAAATAGTGATCAACTTCCGTTTTTTTGTGCGTGACTTCCGGTCAGCCGCTTTCCCTCATGCTTTCCCTTATCGGAGCTAACGGTGCAAGCTAATTTTTTTTCAATTTTCAGTTGTTTATGTTAGTCAATCAGTTAGTTAGTTAGTTAGTTAGCTAGTCTGTGTATTTTGCATAACGTTAGATAACTGTGCCCACGTTTACATTATAACGGAAATTTATTCCCTCTAAACGTGAATAAATCGCACGTCAATCATAAACTATGAACCAAAAAAGCACAATCTATCCCGAGTGAGACAAACTGCTTGATCCCCGTCTCCAGTGTACCAGCAGAGAACCTGCAGAACCGAATCAGCGAAAAAACACACCGGGCTACAAAGCCTCTCTACGTGAGCAGCTGAAGCTGCGGCTCGTACCCTCGACATACAGACACACAGACGGTGCTTCTGCATGCCAGCCAAACGTGTGCACACCTGTGAGAAATAAATATGTGAGGTGTACGCTGCTTTTCTATCTTTTTTTCCCTTTTCTTTCTTTCTTTCTGTCAGCGACATACACTCCTAACACAGGACGGGTTGTTTTAATTGACTGAGTTGATCATTAAGCCATAGTGATGCCGCGGATCGGCTCTGATAGCACCTGAATCAGCATGTACGCATCAACCATCCAGCCGTTACAACATGATTGAGCTAGCAAAGCAGTTTTGTGTTGCTATGTGTGGTATTTATTCAGTTTTGGGAAATCACGATGTCTAGAAAGCATCAGTGGCTGCAGCTGACAGGGACAGCTAACGTTAACACTAGCAGCAAAGCTAACATCAGGATCGTCATCCGTTAAAAGCCTCCCGTTGTCGGATACGACATGAAACTACTCCAGTTAGCTCAATCATGTTAAGACATCCGCTGGAGAAAATATTTTTTTCACGGGCCACTTTGTGAGTTTAGTGAGTTATTACAGACACGACTAACGGCTAACAGCTAACGGTTAGCCCAGCTAATCTACGATAACCATGTTATTAATTACACACAGAGAAAATACTGTTTGTTCAGTCATTGTGTTTATAGACTTTACAAACATCAGATTAGTCTAAACGGTGATATAGTGACGTGAAAAATGTTATACATATATATATATATATATATATATAGCTAAACTCAGCAAGGTAAACAACAAGGCGATTCCCATTTACACAGCTGGTTGGCTGCGTTCTGTTTTGCCTCCGTGTTTCCGTGAAAAATAAGGTGGATAGTGAATGAAATTAACCACGGAGAATTCGAACAACACTACAAAATGGCGAACACACTATATAGTGCACTATATCCATGATAGGGAGCGATTTCGAACACAGCTACTGTTTTGCTGCACAGTTACTGACATTTACAACACGCAGTATAGTTGAACTTTAATCTCCAACATAAGAAACAAGCACGTGCAACAAGATCCTTCTTTATTACCTAGTTTTTATTTCAGTATTCACATGTAGCTGCCTGATGTTTTCATAAGGAATACCAATGATGTGGCAGAATGCACTTATGTAGTTACTTAGTAATGGCACACTTACATCATAAAGTAATAAAATACATTTTCCTTGCCTGTGATTTTGCAAGTCACATTTTTATCAGGTCTTATCATTTGTCTGTTTGAAGAGTTGATTATCACCAAGAGGCACGAGATTTCCAGTAACACCACATACTTTTCCCCATTGTTTTAGTTTCCTGGTATTTTCAAGGCTTCATTGACCAAAGAGACTTCCTCCAACTTTCCAAAACAGGTGTGTGCAGCCTTTAAAAGGATGCCATCCCTCTACATGTGTGCACACTGTCCAACTGTGCAAGATGGGCTGCAGACGCACTGACTGCCTGGCAAAGCCTCTGTCAGGGGTTTTTGAGAAACTTGGATCACTTGTAGGCTCCTGTCCTTTTTATTTTTTTGTGATTCCCCTTATACTCTCAGTGGCGCTCGGTGGAGGCTTCACTTTTCTCAAAGACAGGGAGGACAATGACTTTGAACGGCAGTACACACCCACAAAAGGACCCTCGAAGGCAACGAGAGCTTTTGTCAGGGAGAACTTCCCTTACAATGACTCCATGTTTTCAGAGGACAGGCTGTACGACAAGGGCAACTTTGCATCCCTCATTGCTGTGTCGACTAACGGCTCAAATATACTAACAAATCCAGCCTTTGAGGACATCATCAGACTCAACAATAAGATCCTTAATATCACTGTGAACAATGGGAGCCTTGGATTCAGCGAGGTGTGCGCAAAAGCCAATGGAGAATGCATCTCAAACATCGTCCTGGAAATTATTAGCTCTAATGAAACTGATCAAACCAACATCACCTTCCCCGTATATACCCACAGATCCAGCTCAGTGTTCCTAGGCTCTGTGCTCGGTGGGGTTATCACAGATGCCAACAGCTCAGTCGTAAGTGCTCAGGCTGTAAAACTCTTCTACTACTTAGATAACAAGGAAAGCACAGCTGATGCCTCAAAGTTATGGCTAAGAGGATTTAAGAGACTGCTATCAGATGAGACGGGCAGCAAACACATTGACGTAAGTATCAAACTGCTTTCATTAGTCTTTCTGAAAAACTTCATGTATTTGCCACTGCTGTGTGTGATAATTGCTGAGCCTTTTTGCTTTAAGTAACAATGACTGAATTAATGAAGAGACACAAAACTACCTCATAAAATGATCAAAAAAAGATACAAAATTACCTCAAAGTGACATGGAACAACTGCAAAGAAACACAAAATTACAATAAAGGTCACAGTTACCTCAAAGGGACACAAAATCGCTGCAAAGAGGCACAAAATGACCAAAAAGACATGACAACAACAAGAGACAAAACCCCCACAAAGTCTGTGTATCTTGCTCCTACGTAAGAGAGGTGCTGGAGCCTTTTGCATGTCTGTGCTCCAAGATCCATTGTCCCATAATCCACCCGTGCTCCCATGAGGCTTTGACGTGTACCAATTGAGTATTTTCAGCTTTTCAGTCAGTCGTAGATGGTCAATCAAGACCATCTATGAAAAGTACATTCAATTTTTAAAGCATTTTGTTACTACTCTTATTTTTTGAAAATATTTTATAGATCATTGTGCAAAGATTTTATTTTATTTTTTTCAATCAAAAGCTTCTTTTTTGACAGTGATGTATATTAATATCATAATGGAAAAATTGTCTTCCTGGACCACAAACAAGACTTCTGAAGAGCTGTTTTGACTGAATGCTCTGATTTTAGGCTGATTTTGGGCTGCCAGCTTTGCACTCTGCCAGGGATGACTACAGATGAAAACTAGCTGCCTAATTAAACTTTTCTTTTTTAACTAATCTACTAACTTTTATGCTCTGCACCCATATGAAAAACTCAAAAATCAAAATGTTCTGATTCTTTTGATTCTTTATCCTTTTAACTGTCCACTTACATTTTCTGCTAAATTGATCTTCCTAAGTGATTGTCTAATGCAGGAGTAGAGAACCTGCAGCTCTTTAGCCCCTCTCCAGTGGCTCCCTTTGGCACTGACTAAAAAAATGTGGAAATGATGGACAACTTTTTGTGGCTTTTTTGATAGGACAGACTTAAGCATGAAATGGTGTGGGGGGGGGGCGGGGGGGGGAGGAATGACATGCAGCCAAGGGCCGTGGGCTGGAATCGTTTCATGGCAGCAAGAACACTGCCTTTGTACATGTGATGCCGGCTCACAGCACTGAGCCACTGAGTGCCCTGAACAATTACTTTTAAACATTTTAATTTTTAGTTATCATTGTTGTAGGCTAAAATTATTCTTACATTTTTCCAATTGTAAAAATATGTAGCCTAGACACCAAAAAAAAAAAAAAAAAGTTTCAACATTTTGTCAGCTATAATGTGTGCATCATACGTATATGGCCTAGTGCCTTTTCCTGTAATTTTTTTGAATCTCAATAGCAGTGGCTAGTCTTGAGTCTTCCCAGTGAGGCTTGCTATGAATTCCAAATCCCAAAAAGGAAAATTCTTGGTGAAAAATAGATACATTAATAGTGCATGAACAGATTTGTTTTTTCACCACCAACGCTGTAACATTAAAGTACCAAATAATCATAAATAGCCTACTGCAGAGTAGCCACAATAAAACATGTTAATGAATGCTTATTTAGACCTATCAGTAATGTTGATAGGCTATATTTAGATTTAATAGGCTGTGTTGCTTACAAGAGTAAAGATTTTAAAACTTTCTTGTGCCATCATGCATATAATTCTGGTGGAGAAAAAATGATTACATTTTATTTTATGTAGATTCAAAAATGTTAAGTCTAAAAATATTTGCATTAGAAAAAACAGAAACAATCAGAAATTGTGACACGTAATTATAAAATAACTCCTTGAACACATTTAAGACGACAAAATGGAGGATAACCATCACTGTAATAAAGGTGGATTTCATCTCTTAGCTGAACATGCTGCTGCACTTAGATATTAATCTAAAATAAGTTCTGTCAATATGGAAAAAATAAGCATATAGATGCTTTTTCTGAACATATTAGCCACAGCCTGTCTGCTCTCACTGTATCTTTACACCTCCTTTTCAGATAATGCTATTGGCAATGTTGCAGACACACTTGCTTTGTCCTGAAATCCAAGCTGTCACATTGGTTTTATTGCTGTCGTGACATCCATGTGTAAACACTTTTTGTCTGACTTCACGTTGGCGTCTCTCTGCTGTACTCCATTGTAGGTGTCTTACTACACCTCCAAATCCAGGCAGGAGGAGATTGACAGTCACACCACAGATGGCTTCCCTTTATTCCTCATCACTTATGCCTGTGCTATCACCTTCTCAGTGATATCCTGCCTGAGGTAAGGAGTGATCAGAGACTGTCTCACAGTGAACGATTTCCTGACCGCGGGCCAAGTCCGAAACACACAGAGCTGGTGTTTATCAAAGTGACTGGTACAGGAAAGCCACATGCAGGTTACATGGAGTTATCCTAACAATTTCAGCATCGCTGTGTCCAAAGCTACAATTCAAAAAGGTTTTGTTTTCATTCATATTAAGTTATATTTTTTTAGTTATTTCAATGTGTATTTAAAGATTTAGCTTAGTTTCTGTGAGGTACAGCTCAGGTTAGGAATTTTATACAGGCAACGTCTGTAACAGCTACAGTAGATTGGGACTGTACAGGAAATGGAAAAAAGTACCTGATAATTTAAAAAATAATCAAAAATTATAGAGCTGAACATGAAGCTTGATATACTGAAGGTAGTTTTTTTTCTCTCCATCAAACTTGATTGAGGGCCCGGTATACGTAGGCTAGCCTACTATATTAATTTCCCCAGAAGTCTTGTTGTTATTGTTGTATGCCTACTTTCAAAACTTTATCACTGGTTTTAAAGCGAGACTATGTAACTTTTGAAAGAAGAAATAGCACAGTCATCGTATTACAAATGAAAGGTTGAATTCAGCAGCAAATTAATGCACCCTGTCTCAGTTCAGCAGACTCAGAGGTTTTGCTGCTACAGCTTTAATTAGTCTGGAATGACCAGTAGCATATAGTGGCTAATGTTAGCTAATGTTAGCAAATTTAAAAATAAGGATATATATCTTTGTAATTGACTTTTTAATTTTTTTTTTTAATTTCATGACTCTTCTTTTCTTGTGCTACTGCAGGTGTTAGCATTTAGCATTATCCTGTGGGCTATTTATTAATTCAGTTCAACTCAATTTTATTCATATTACAAATTACAGTTTGCCTCAGAGGCCTTTACAACATATTTATCATGTGTTCACAATGGCAGCTATTTATCTAAAGGTGCAAAAGCCCAGCTTTAAAGAGCAACTTAAGGTCCTGTTTACCTTACATGTTAGGCAGAAAAATGAATTGTGAGAATCCCTCAGGGCTAATAGATACGTTGAATGTATTTACTTCTTCATAAAACATTTGAAAATCAGATTTTTCTTGAAAGGTTGAAACCTGCACTGTTGACGTCCATGTTTGCTAGCTAGCAGTTTAGTGCTGTCTCAAATCACATACTTCTGTTAGTACACTTCCACGTAGTATTCTATGTTCACTATGTACTTATTGGTGTAGTGCGCAAATTTCGACAGGGTAGTGTTGTCTCAAACCAAACACAGCCGTTGTGCACTCACCGGAAATGATGACAGCAAATTAGCTAGTTAGCAAACTAGCATTAGCATTCGCGTTATCGTTCGCGGTACTTAATCATTACAGACTGCTAAATTAACCCAATAAACATACTGCCGGCTTATACCCGACAACAGTATAGTGCTGCTTAGTGCAAAAAACACATGTATTTGTACAATGCAGCAACATTCGCGGTCGCACAGTCCTCTGCCGCCATATCCTGTTTGAAAAGTGGTCCCTCCCCTTCCACTATGTAGCCAAGATGGTGACCATTGAGTGCACCATCCGGGTACCCATAGTGCACTGCATTTTTCCATATTTCTCAGTGTGAACACACTTATGCACTCAAAATAGTAAGTGTAAGTACAGAAGTACGCAGTTTGAGACAGCATTCTCCTTCCCTTCCTTTGCTAACACATTGCTGCGTGTCTTGGTGCGTTGCTAATGTTGTGCATGGATGCGCTAAAAGATAGAATTTATTGAACATGCCTATATTTTTGGTGAATGATGAATAGAATGCATCAGTGTTATATTATATTTTCATATTGTACACTCACAACAGTGAACGATGCTGGTTTTACAGCACCTGAGTATTTATGGCATTGACACGACGCGGGTAGCCTCCTACTGAAGCCAGTTGTATGAATATTTGAAGGACTTTTATGAACAGATTAGTAAGTTACAGATTCCAACGGAAAAAATCTCTCATATTCACGCAAAATGTGTCTGAAAAACAAAGTGCGAATGTCAGCCATATTTGCAACAAATTTGAAACGAGACTTCGAGTTGAGGCACCCAATCAGTCTTTGGAAATATATGTGAATGATGATCACAAGATTCTATTTTATTTAAAGAAAAAGAAAAAGAAAAAACAGATGACAGCTGTGTAAGTTCATTTGTTGGGAGGGTGAATCCAGTTCAAAATTCAAATTGTTAACTATGAATGTGAACTAGCTCATTTTAATGTGTGTAAACTGAACTTTGAGCTCACATAAAACACTGGTTGCTACCAGTCAGCATTATAGTGTGAAACGTGCACATGCATGAGAACAAACCATATGAGGACACCACATAAAACATTGCCTCGTATGTACCCGCTGACATCAGTGTTTGGTGTGGTAAAGGTGTTACATACTCAAAGGTTTCAACCAAAGAGGGCAGTGGAACACCATCTTCTTACCTTGGTATTAAGTTACTCGTCAAAACCTTTTTAGTACTTGCTAAAAATGAATTTATTTAATGAATTTATTTCACAAATCTCCGACATTAAGCAGGTTAGTTCTGAGGCTGCTCAGGTTGAAGTTATCAAGATAACATTTGTATAAATGGACCTCACTTACAGTATATTTTTACTGAATAGTTAAATGATTTTGCTTTCTACACCAATAACATCCTATCTCTACCTCCGTGACAGATTGGACAATGTGAGGAACAAGGTGTGGGTGGCCGTCTTTGGCGTCTTCTCCTCTGGCCTGGCTGTCCTCTCCTCTTTTGGCTTGCTGCTTTACATCGGAGTGCCATTTGTTATTACAGTCGCAAACTCTCCTTTCCTGATACTCGGTGAGGAAAAGCTGCCTTGTCCTGTTTTGTTCCAGACTGTAGTTTTAGCTTGTAGTTTGGCATGCAACATCCATCAAGTAATATAATGCATTTACATAAAAGTGAATGTAAAAAATACCTCTGTGGTGTTTTGTAAGGCATTAAATTGAGCAGTATTTGAACCGCTTCATGTGGTCTCAGGTAGATTAAACTGCAGCACTCCATCATGTTTAATGAGCATTTTATGTTTTACTGTAAAATCCTGTAAAATGTTTAAAGTGATGATCATTTTTCCAGGAATCGGTCTTAACAACATGTTCATAATGGTGTCCGACTGGCAGCACACCCACGTGAAAGACTCAGTGCCGAAGCGGATGGCTCACGCTTACAAAGAAGCCATCATGTCCATCACCATCACCGCCCTGACCGATGTCCTCAAATTCTCTATCGGCGTCATGTCTGACTTCCCAGCCGTGCAGTCGTTCTGCCTCTACACCAGCACCTCCATCATATTTTCCTACATCTACACAATCACCTTCTTTGGAGCCTTCCTGGCTCTAAACGGGAAGCGGGAAGCCAGCAACAGGCACTGGCTGACCTGCATGAAAATACCATCAGACAATTCTGATCATCATTCTGAGATATATAACATCTGCTGCGTGGGAGGCGACTATGATAAGAACACTGGAGCAGAGAAAAAACAAGCAGCGAGTAATTTCTTTAAGGATTACTACGGCCCATTTTTGATCAAACCCTGTGTCAAAGGAGTTGTAATCTTCCTTTATGTGGTGTATTTAGCCGCAAGTATTTATGGGTGCTTTCACATACAACAGGGGATTGAGCTTTATGATCTGGCAGCTGATAATTCCCACGTTACCAGGTTTATTATGAAGGATAGGGAGTATTTTTCAGGTTATGGTCCATCTGTGATGGTAATTGTAAGTGAGGAATACCCATACTGGGATAAAACTAAGAGGCACCAACTTCAGGAATGCATAGAGGACTTTAAGAAGCTCGAGTTTGTAGATGAGGATGTCTATTCATCCTGGCTGGATTCTTATTTGTCATATGGACAAGAAACACATTTAAACCTTAATCATAAAGATGTTTTTCTCAAAAATCTATCTCAATTTTTTGATGTATTTCCTTTTTTCAAGCAAGACGTGAACCTCACTGGAGATGCTGTGTATGCATCCCGCTTCTTCATTCAGACCGTCGATATCACTAATGCCAACATGGAAATTGACATGCTTAAAGGTCTCAAAACCACTGCAGGCAAATGTAGCACAGCATCTATGTTAGTCTACAATCAGAAATTCATCTTCTACGACCAGTATGGCGTCGTAGTGAGTAGCACGGTTAAAAACGTTGGCGTGATCACAGCTGTGATGTTGGTTGTCTCTCTCCTGCTGATTCCAGACCCCCTCTGTGCATTGTGGGTGACTTGTTCGATTGGCTCAGTGACTGTAGGGGTTACTGGTTTCATGGCGCTTTGGGACGTCAGTCTCGATTCCATATCCATGATCGCTTTTACCGTCTGCATCGGCTTCACAGTTGATTTCTCAGCTCACGTTTCCTACGTCTTCGCCTCCAGCAAGAAAACGAGTCCTGACGACAAAGCTGTGGACGCTCTCTCCAGTTTAGGCTATCCCATACTTCAAGGGGCCCTGTCCACCATTTTAGGTGTGGTGGTGTTGGCAACGTCTGAATTTCACACATTCAGAACATTTTTTAAGATCTTCTTTCTTGTCATGTTTATCGGGATGCTTCACGGCCTCAGTTTCATTCCGGTAGTTCTGACATTAGCAACATGCAGTAACTCACAGAAAGATGAACGTAAAGACAAAATTTTGAGTATCAGCAAACTATGACCACAGTTACACTGCATGTGTAGGTAGTTAGACATATTAGATAGGTACATTTACTTGTAGATCCATTCATAAAAATGTTTTCATTTTCTGGAAAGAACATGTATAAGTTATATTTTGTAAGTTATTTGTTTTGTTGTTGTTTTTTTAATGGATGAGTTTAACAATTAACAATTTTCACTGGTTTTGTAAATAGTAATTTTGCATCCAATGCAATGGAATTTAATCATATAGCAATCTGTATTTTATACGTGACAATAAAGCCTTCTGTTTCACCCTGAATTGTTTGTTATGTGTTGTTTCTGTGAGGACAATGGACTGTACCCAGCTCAGAGCTATATCAGTCATCAGATTTGGCTGTTCAATATGAATATTCAATTAGTTGTTCCTTTTTTTCCATATAGAGTTTGAGGGTTTGAGTGGGTTTCGGCACGACAATTACAGTGACGGTGACATTCACGTAATATAGTGAGCAAGCCAAGTTAATCTGGGATTTGTGCAACATCTGTGCTGATACTAGATATCAAACAAATGCCAGAGACTAAATTGTATAAGGTTCCTCTGTTGGTTTACGTTGCTGTAAATTCACCACTTCTGAGCAGAAGAAAGAAAAATATCTCTGAGCCTGACCAGGTGGGGACTGACCATTGTTTCAACAGCACTAAAATTCCAAAGCCCTGTTGGTCTGAAAAACATCCCACTGGACCAAATGTCCGACAGCTCGTTACAATGCTAGTTGCAGTTCTGTTTCTCACACACTCCCTGCAGTTACACAACCAGAATAAATGTTCAGATTGTACATTTCTGGAAACCAGGGATATGTTACATTTATCAACAATGCTGTGGTGAATGTGTGGTTAGGTTTAGGCACCAAAACCCCTTGGTTATGGTCAGGAAAGGATCATGATATGGCTTAAAACACCTGCATTTGGTGGCACAAAAGTTGCTGGAAAAGCAGGGATGGGTCAGGGAAAAACACCCTGGATCTGTGCCTCAAATGCCACAAGGAAACCAAAACTAACTGCAGCTCTGTATTTTTGAAGAAATGGGACCTTAGAGCAATTGGCATTTGTTATTGTAATAATGGACTGTCAAGGAAATGAGCTTTCAGGCAGACATTTTTTGGACTAATGGGGCTTCAGAATTTTAGGCCATTGGAACAATGGCATGGCAATGACTGGGCAAAGCCTCTCTTCCCCTGGGTAGCTGCCTCTTTCTCACTTAGATTCACCCTGGGTCTGGGTCAGGCCCCTACGAGGTGTGACAGGCAATTTTTGTAAAGGCCAAACTATAAACTTACAACTTCCGGATCCGTCAAGTAATGCCATTGGCCCCCAAAGACTTTTCCCTATAGACTTACAATGTGAAGATAATGGAGATCAGTGAATACATATTTTGAGCATCACAACCCAGTCATTTTACTGTCGGGATTTGATCCATTAGTCCTGATAACATTTTGAAAGTCTAAAAGAGTCGCACAAATGTTTTTTCTTTTTTCTTTTTTCTTTTTTTCTTTATGCACCACTTAGCAACTTTCATAGGAATGAACAGGGCCCCGCCTCCAACACTGCATCCAGGTCATTTTTATACTTGATGGTCTGAGTTTGCAGCTGCCTGCACTAGAAAGAAGCATGAAAGTGAGAAATTTTTACTCTGCAGCAAAATCTGGGGAACATCCCCAGAAGTGCACACTGACAAAACAAACAAACAAAAAAGAATCTCAGTTGACTGAGGGATCGCTGACTGATGATTTCAATCTCTGACTTTCAGGGAGCAGCCCTAGTAGACACTGACACTTATAACCAGCTGTTCCAATATACTCATTTTAGCAGTAAATGAATATGTGGCATATTTAAATTCAATGCAGCAAGGCCAATAACATTTTATTACCATTACTGTGGTGATTAAAATACAATGCCTCTCATTAAGCAATTCGGATCAAAATTTGTAATAAGTAGGGCATATTAATGTGCTGCTAACTCTCAACTAGACTATAACAGCGTGAAACACCACCTGCATAGTCTAAACTATCAAACCTGTCATCAGGGGCAGAAAAAAAATATTTTCACTTGAGGTTGTCGTACTTTTCAGATGTCTCATTATTCAAAACTGCATGTAATTAAGATGCACCACAATTTCTCAATTCCAGGAATTGGTGTTGAGGACATATCGTACGTCTCCAACTGGCAACACATTAACATCAAGAACCCACCGCCTATGCAGATGGTTCACACCTCAAAAGAAGGTGCTAGGTACACCTTCGTCACTGTCATCATCGCTACAACACCAAGCATTTTGGTAGCAGGAACATCAAAACTAGAAGAGAAAGAAATGTTTCTGTTAGGGTCAGAGAAAGACTGAGGATGACTGAAGTTGAAAGAGAAGTTGGTACCTTGAATTCATGCAGGCATCTTTGGCAAGTAATGAACCCAGATGCTAAAAGGATACAAACAAACAGGCACTGATTTGGGGGTTTCTACTGATGCACAGCTCTACAGTGAGGCGTCTCTATATACTGGCCGTAAGGTTATACAGGATCAAGTTTTCCCAGTTATTTTCTGTACAGTGTCAGTATCAGGATTTCAAGACAAGTCAAGCAAGCAGGCTCTTGGATGCAGCTATACGTGCTGTAGGTTGGTCAAGAAATCCACGAGGCCTTCAGGTTCCAGCTCCCAGCATCCCTGGTGGCCCATGCATCGTGCAGGTCGACTCTCAGCTCTGTCACCCTCCGTCACGCCTGTCTTCCTCGCCCTGGTATCCAGGACGAGATGCCTCTGGCCCACACAGCGTGATGTGACATGCCCCTACACCCAGGAGAGAGATAGAGAGAGAGACAGCAACCTTGGAGCTTAAACTAATAAGAAAGAGAAAGACTGATAGATCGATGACAAAGTAAAGAAAGAGATCAGAACCCCCCCTTTTTGTTGCATAATAAACCCCTTATCCCTCTGTGTAGTTGCTTGGCTAACACGTGAAGGAGCAGCAGCTTGCATCAACCATAAATGAATTTATTGATTAGAAACGTGTAGGTTTCAGGGGAGGCATGACTGCATTCCCACAGAAAGGCCCTGTTGGTTCTAAGAAATGAAGTCCCAGTTTTATCTAAGACTAAAAAGAAAACAGTTGTATGGTTAGGCATTACGAAGAATCATCTATTTGGTATGTTATAGTTTATTTTGCTGTTTTCTGGGAAGGCTTTTCATAAGATTGTGGAGCCTGGCTGCAGGGATTTGCTTTTGGGCCCTCACACTTCTCAGGTGTAGTAGTTGCTCTGATGAGCTGCCTAGACTCATGCAACTACCGGACAGAGCAGCACATGAAGCTAGATGGCGGGGCTGTCACGTGTGGTTAGGTTAAGCCATAAAAGCAAGTGATTTGGGTTAGGAAAAGATCATGTGTTGACTTAAAATACATGCTTTTCAGGGTGTTGGTGGCTTAGTGGATAGAGCAGGCACCCCATGTACAAAAGCTCCGTCTTTGCTGCAGCAGCCCAAGTTCAATTCCAGCCTGCAGCCCCTTGCTGCATGTCATCCCCTCTCTCTGTCCCCCTTTCACACTAAACTGTCTTATCCATTAAAGGCAAAAATGCCCCAAAAATAATCTTAAAACAACAACATGCTTTTTGTGGCATAACCACTGCAGGAAATTGTGCGATGTGTTGCCAAAAACAACCAGTTTTGATGTTTGTTGTTCTCTAACATCCACCATCCCCTTCTCCTCCCTATAACAAACTCAGCTCATATACATGTAAGCAGAACTACATCACTTTAGAAATGTTGATATGATAAGTATGAAACATACAAAATGTAATGTATGTGGGATTTGCAGAAACGTACAATGCCACCATTTCATTCTGGCGCCTAGGGTGATACTTCCACTGCTACTGTGTTTGTTCTATGTATGCTGAAACAGGACAGGCTCGCCCAAACTGTTGCCACAAAGCAGGCAGCACACTTTTGTCTTAAATACCAGGGCTCTCCACACTGACTTGCAGTGGGCGGGGGCTCAGTTGGAAAAAGGTGATGTCATGTATTTAAATGCACCAATCAGGATTTAAATTAGAATCTGATGACAGTTGATGTGTGGTTTGACCACTGTTAATGAAATGTGACCAAACCACAACCAAACAATCCTAATTAATCACATTTACTTAGTTTGAGTTTGTGTGTTAAACTCTAAACCAATAACACCTATATATGTTGTTTCTGCTTTTTTATCCTCATGAATATATTTTCTATATCTCACAGAAGATTTGAAACCAAGTTTTGAGGGGATTTAATTGAATTTAAGGGGTCTGGTCCCCATGTATTAGCAGGGGTGTCCCCAGATCTGTGTATGTGCTGTCCTCCATCACATATCTTGCAACAAAAAAGCCCCAGAGTTCCCTAATATACCCCTACCTTTATTTCCTGTTTGTTTCCCCTATTTTTGGCCAAATTGTGTAATGCAAAAATTATACATGACATAAAGTTTATATAGGATGATGTGAATATCGCCCATAGCTATCATGGAGGTATTTATATATGAAAAAACACATATCATGATTAATCCCATTGATAACCTATTTGTCCCCAAATACCTTAAGAAACACCAAAACAAATTAAAAATAAATATGTAAAAATAGATACTACTTTCTCTTAACCATCAGAGAATTCGATTTTTCAATATTTCCTCAACAGCTTTAAATTAAAGTGGGTGTAATTGAGCTTTTGTACAGTGATCAACAGTGAGAAAACGACCCCTGAATGCCAAAGTGAGAACAAATCTCTCCCTATTGATCCAAATTAAGTGCTTAATTTTGATAAATCAGCCGCCGCTGACTTCATCACTTTCAGCACCGGACAGCTCCCTCACGGCTCCACCGAACACTGCGCCGTGATTGACAGAAGAAGCGGCCATACGCGGATCAATGTTGCTTCTGGAGCCCTATGAGATGATGGAGAAGACGGGCTTTGAGAGCGCGCAGCTCCTGATGTGTCTCTTCGTGGCTTCTGTAGGCCTACTTAATGCTTGTTGTGGTCGGAAGAGGGCGGAGTGCGTTTGCCATCCAAGTGAGAAGCTCCCTGACTCGGTGCCTCCTGAAAAATATATAAATAT